TATTCAATTTCGTGTTAGGTTTGTAAGGTGGGGGAGGGGGAGATGGGGTCATCAGGGAAACGTACATAATTAGGAAGTTCCTCGTGGAATGATACGCGACACTTTAAAAAATATCATGCCCCAGTGTTTGGTGCAGGGATCGATTTGTCCGAGAAGATCAGCTGGTTTGATTTTCAGGCACTAGTGTAAGGTTAATTGCTTGTTGGAAAACTCCTCAAAATGCTGGAAATAGCTTATCTGAGCTTCAAAAAATCCAAAACCCCTCTAGAGGCTCGCGTCTTCGGTGGTCGACTCAGTTGTCTCGGAGTCCTAGTAAAGCATGGCCTAAGCTGCTGCCTTATGACGTATACTTATTAGTTAAACCATGCATATATATGCTGTAGGTAGCTGCAGTGATACAGACAGGGTTGTAGCGAGGTGGGGGGTATTGGGGGGTGGTTAACCCCCAACCTTTTTAGAATCAACATCTTCAGAAAATCGGGTAGGCCATTCTGAAAATTATGGCAATAATAGTAGAACAAAATTTTAGTTGTTAAACAGAGAAAATATTATAAAATTGTATTGTCACTATAAACGCTTTTTTCTGACCATTAGCATTCTGTCAAAACTTCCCCAAAGTCCAGCAAATGGCATTTCAAAGACATTTCTATGAAATGGCATTTCGAAATTTAAAAATTTCCTCGGCCCTCCGGCCCTCGCTTTCTGCCCCCAATAAACAAAAGCTCCCTACCGCACTGCTTCTGTAATATGTCTGTGCGTAAAATATGCGTATTTTTGTTTGCAAATTGCGTCTTCATTTTCCGAATAGCAAACATCTTCGTGGCTTACTATGCCATGATATATTCGGAAATTATTTTCGTCATTCGGAAATTTTTGGCCTACACCCCCCCCTACGGCCCTGGATACAGACTTGCCGACTGGAACTTCTCCAGGTCCCCCGCTAATTATATCCTCTCCAGTTAAACATCCTTAAAAAAGGCCCTGAACCAAATGTTATACCTCATAGCAATATGTATTATTAAGAGCAATGCATGAAGCGGAAAACTCAACGTTAACTATAATTAAAGAATCTAAATAGTATAACCTATTGAAAAAAAATGCTGCGAAAGAAAGTGTGGCAATATAAATCGTGCATGGTGATGGGATAAAAAAAAACTTGCACATAACGATCCCAGAAAAAATCCCCCCCCCCCTCGAAAGTTAAATGGTCGGCCCCTAATCGAGTCCAGTCCATGTTTTACTACATGCCCTCTTATACACTAAAGTTGATGTTATTAAAATTACAATTTACAAAGAAACAGACAAGGAACTACATTTAGGAATGTTTTACTAATCGAGTCCATGTTTTACTAATCGAGTCCATGTTTTACTAATAGAGTCCATGTTTTACTAGTCGAGTCCATGTTTTACTAATAGAGTCCATGTTTTACTAATCGAGTCCATGTTTTACTAATTGAGTCCATGTTTTACTAATCCAGTCCATGTTTTACTAAACGAGTCCATGTTTTACTAATAGAGTCCATGTTTTACTAATCGAGTCCATGTTTTACTAATAGAGTCCATGTTTTACTAATCGGGTCCATGTTTTACTAATCGAGTCCATGTTTTACTAATCGAGTCCATGTTTTACTAATAGAGTCCATGTTTTACTAGTCGAGTCCATGTTTTACTAATCGAGTACAGTCCATGTTTTACTAATGAGTCCAGTCCATGTTTTACTACATGCCGTTTAAGTAGGTTCTTTTAATTTTAAACTCGTTTATACCGTAGAGTTTTTGTCACGAAATACAATTGTCGTATGAATGTTGTTGAAGTTGATTTTTGTTCGTCGCTATACAGGGTGTTTAGGAAGACAGGAAATTGCTGTCAATTCCACAATTCTGTTCATGCAATGTAATTTTTTATATGTATAGATTGCTTGAGTTCTTAAATTACGGAAAATATAAAAAAATTTGAAAATAGTAAATTTTGCTATCCAGGGGGGTGGTCAACTTTTGCTCTCCTAAAAGTGGCTTGCGCACGGAAATGACAAACGGTATTCTTTATTTGAGTTCATATATGAAAAGTTCGCTATTTGTTGCATTTATGATAAAATTTCGGCAGGATTTTACCGAGTACAAATCCTCCGAAAAGCCTATGAAAACGTTATATTTTTCTCTGTTGGTGCTGTTCTTGCTTCATTATGAATTCATTTTTACTCCCATGAGGATTCCGTGGAATTTCCATGGAATTTGTGCTTTCAAGTTGTTTGTGCTGAAACGCATTTTCTCGTATAATACCCCGTACACTTTGAAAGGGCGATGCCACAATTTTCCCCGCAGCAGAGAGCCTTTATGCATGGTATCAGAGTTCCTCCGTAGCAACAACATAAACTTGGTTCGCCAAAGTTTCACGAACGAATATCCAGACTTGTGAACGATGCCCTTCACGTATTCGCACGTGAAGGGCATCGTACATCTGGATATTCTTGAAACTTTGGCGAACCATGTTTATGTTGTTGCTACGGAGGAACTCTGATACCATAAAAGCTCTCTGCTACGGGGTAAATTGTGGCATCGCCATTTCAAAGTGTACGGGGTATTATACGAGAAAATGTGTTTCAGCACAAACAAATCGAAAGCACAAATTCCATGGAAATTCCACGGAACTCTCATGGGTATGGCGTTCCGTTCCGGTCAAAATTATTTCAAGTCAATAAGTAATATTCAAACATCATATAAACATGTTATAACTCTCAATATAATGTTGAAAATATCAAGATGAAGTTCAAACTCAAAAAAAAAAATAAAACGAAAGTTTAAAGCATATACTTGAAAAATGCAAAATACATTTCAAACCTCAAGCGATATATATGAAAATTAAACGCAAGTCCAAACTTCTATTTATAAAGCGAAACTCCCAAATGATAAGTCAAACTGTCAAAGCCGCGGCTCATAAAAATAAATCGAAAAGTCAAAAATATAAATCGAAAGGAAACTAGGAAACGGAAGTAACAACTAAAATACAGAGGAAGTCAGGAAACGGAAGTTAACCACAAACATTGCTGTCTGCTGATTCAGCCGAATATCTTTCTCGCCGTTTGGATGTTTACAAAAGAAATATAAATATTCTTGTACTAATCTATAGCCAATTCTAGGTGTTACTTGTAAGATACCACGAACAAATAGATCAAGATCATTGCCCCTTATGGTAGAATGTAATTCCCTGTTCGTATTAGCTGAGACAAATGAACGTCGTCGTATTGTACTCTCAGATACTCAAAATTTCTTGCAATTTCTGCCCAGGAAAGTCCAACTTGAGAATTTAGAGTTTTGATTGCCTGTTGTCAGACGTCCAGTCTTGGTCTTCCCACACCAGAGATAGTTAATAGTTAACACTCCCACTGTCCTACACTTGTCTGAACAATACCGTGGTCCCTGGGGGGGGGGGGAGAGGTGGCGGTACCATAGGCGTACCGGGCGGGGGGGGGGGGGGTAGCCCCCCCAATTTGTTGGGCAGTCGGGCAATATTCAATCAACAGGCGGGCAATTTTGGTTTGCAATTAAAAAAAATGGGACAAATTCTGTAAATTTTGTGTAAAATTAAGTAAATTTTGTGGGGGGGGGGGGGCAATTTTCTTTCCGCCCCCCTAAATTTTTCCTTCCGGTACGCCCATGGGCGGTACTCCTCCAACAAAGGGCGAAAGGAAAGTGCTTTGCATCTTTCGCATCTTTCCCTTCGACGACGAACAATCACTTGAAGCATGCGCATATCTGACAAACGTTGTTGTTCTAGAAGATATTAAGCCTTGTGAGATTGAGAAGAATATTTATATTTCTTTTGTAAACATCTAGCCTGTGCACATCCTGTATTACCCTGTACTACAGGGTAATACAGGATGTGCACAGGCTAGTAAACATCCAGACGGCGAGAAAGATATTCGGCTGAATCAACAATGTTTGTGGTTAACTTCCGTTTCCTGACTTCCTCTGTATTTTAGTTCTTATTTCCGTTTCCTCTCGATTTATATTTTTGACTTTTCGATTTATTTTTATGAGCCGCGGCTTTGACTTATCATTTGGGAGTTTCGCTTTATAAATAGAAGTTTGGACTTGCGTTTAATTTTCATATATATCCTTTGAGATTTGAAATGTATTTTGCATTTTTCAAGTATATGCTTTAAACTTTCGTTTTATTTTTTTGAGTTTGAACTTAATCTTGATATTTTCAACATTATATTGAGAGTTATAACATGTTTATATGATGTTTGATATTGTTGACTTTAAATAATTTTGACCGGAACGGAACGCCATACATGGGAGTAAAAATGAATTCATAATGAAGCAATAACAGCACCAACGGAGAAAAATGTAACGTTTTCATTGGCTTTTCGGATTTTTACTCGGTAAAATCCTGCCGAAATGTTATCATAAATGCAACAAATAGCGAACTTTTCATACATGAACTCAAATAAAGAATACCGTTTGTCATTTCTGTGCGCAAGCCACTTTTAAGGGGGCAAAAGTTGACCACCCCCCTGGATAGCAAAATTTATTATTTTCCAAATTTTTTATATTTTCCACATTTTAAGAACTCAAGCAATCCATATATAGCAAAAATTACATTTCATGAACAGAATTGTGGAATTGAGAGCAATTTCAAAATTGTCTTACTTTTTTTGATACACCCTGTATAACAAAACACTTAATGCCTGGCTCCCTCGGGAAATAGTTAGTTTTGTTTTCCCTCGAATCTTAATGTTTCCCTGAACTTCGTCTCGGGAAACATTGAGATTCTCGGGAAAACAAAACTATTTCCCTCGGGAGCAGACATTAAGTGTATATTGTTCACATCGTCATCGGCCATACTATTACCATCTCATCGTAATCTATTCAATCAATTTTTGAGTAAAAATTTACTTTACCAAAACAAAGAGTAAATTTGCTCATAAATATATGCGAGTAATTTTACTCAAAATGTCGAGTCACTGTGTGTCAGTGCATTATTTCACTCAAGCTTCTGTCGGTTCTGAGTCAAAATTTTTTGCAGTGTTTTAATTTCATACTATTGAAATTTTTAGCCTGTATGCAAAAAAGTGTAGCCCACAGGCACAGATCAAGACGGTGGTAGTTTATCCACATTACAAACTCAGCTTGATCAAGAAATGATGGTCTGGAAACTAAACAGAACTCATTGTGTTATATTTTTGTCTGAGTTTATGTATTATATTATATTTTTGTCTGGGTTTGTGCAGTTGGTCACAGAGATTGAGATCATTGTGTTTTCGTATAATTACTGTATCGTCCAAACAAATGTTTTCTATTTTGTGAGTTTGAAGTTTGCCGGGTTGCCAGACCATCATATACTTTGACAGACTATGGCTTGATGATCATGCATAGAAATTTTGAAAACCAGCAACAATAACATACATGTGAGGTTAGTTTTCCTGTTTCAAATTTGATGCGCTTTCCTCGGCTTGTACCCACCGTCTTGTCCGAGAACATAATCTTCAATGTTTACCTAAACATAGTAATGAAAAATAATATACAGGTAGACTGTCACAGGGCTCGAAACATAAACCGCATATTTCAGAAATGGCAAGCGAAAAAAATTTGACTTGGCAAGTGATATGCATTAAGAAAATTAACATATTTATACATGTTCATACCTGAGTGAGGCAATTTTGGCAGTTCAAAAATAGATGGCTGTCTTTCCTCTGCAGTTAAATTCTTCAAATATTCTTGCATTACACTTTGCAGAATATCAGGCAGCCCACAATAACCATAATCTATCAGGCTGGGTATTCTATATCGAACTTCGAGCGAACGAGTAGTCCGTCTCGCTGCTTTAGCTATTTGTTTCCGCCTTCAAAGTTGAGCAAAACTTCGACGAGGCCACGAGGGCGTTTCGTCAACATTCAACCGCCTCGCAAAGGCTTTCATTCTGCTGCTCAACCTGTGACACCGCCGTACAATCATCCGGAGTGTTCCGCAATTCCATGGGAACGGTTTAAAAATTCAATACAGTGAAGACTTGCAGGAAAATAATATTTTTGAACCATGACCATGTGCAATTTTCAAAATTTCGAACTTGCCGCCATTTAAAAATGTTGCGAGTGAGTTACTGAGTTTAGGCCTGGGGAGGAATATGTTTCCACTTTGCTGATGCATTATTCCTTAGGAATTTTTCTTTTTGATTTTTTCGGCTTTGATTCGCTTTTAATGCAAGAGAATTTAGCTTCGAAAATTTAGCCTGCGTAGCAGGCGGTATTCGCGGGCACGAGAGAATAGGAAGCTTGAAATACCGCCTGCCCAAAAACTACACATTCTGAGTTCTCCCCGGCAGCTGGGTGCCGGAGCATTCTGATTGGTAGCCTGCGTAGCAGGCGGTATCTGATTGGTCAGAATGTTGATTTTGAATTTTTGATTGACAGG